GTAGAGAGACTGGACTAGAAGAGACCTCCTAAAACCTAAGCCAATATATTTTCAACATTATCACATATTACTAATCATTTGGAAGCATTTGAGCCAAAGTGTGAACCATGTATCATAAGTGAGAGAATCTTAGCAATGAAAGAGACCTTGGAGGTCATCTAGTGCCATCTACCTCCTGGTACAAGAATCATCTTGCTGACATCCTGACAGATGACCACTGATCTCTGCTGACTTAACTTTGATGCCGGAAGCTCAGTACTTTATAAGGCAACTTGTTTTGTTTTGGGATATCTCTACTCATGGTAAATGTATCCCAACAAAAGGTCAAATTCATATTCTTAAAGTATCAATCCAGAAAGGGTGAAGGTGGCCAGCGGTGGTGAATGGCATGGCCTTAGTCATGGTGCAGAGTTCACTCTTTTTCTCATCTTAAAATGAGGAGAATAATGCCTACTTTATAGGGTCATTGTGAGGATTTAGAAGTACAGTTTATAAAGCATCTCCCATAGTGGCTGCCTCAAAATAGGTACTCACATTGTAGTTATTATTGGCTTGTATCATCATTTTTTGAAATCATGGCTGCTGGAGCAACAGATACTATATCTAATCCCACAAATATTTGAAGACAGTTATCATGACCCTCTAAGTCTTCTCTTCTCCAGACTAAATATTCCCTGATTCTTCTACTGTTCTTTCTGTGATGCATTTCGGATGTCGTGGCTTTCATTCCATCCAATTTGTCAATTTCCCCCTCAAAATGTGGTCGCCAAATGTGGTCAGTTCAACGTGTTCTACAGGGGAATAATTACTTCCCTTGATCTGGACTTTGCACTTCTCTTACAACCACCTAGATTTATGTTAGCATTTTTTGGAGGCCAGATCACACAGTTGGCTCAGTTAAACCTGAATCCACTATGCAGAACATTAGCTATGCCTCCCAACACGTGTCAACTGCAGAGTTGACAAGCACAATTTTTACATCTTCATCCAAGCTGTTAATAAATATGTTAAACAAGAAAAGGCCAAAGGCCGAACTTCAAGGAACACCCCCCCCCATCCCCCCCGCCAATCCTTCCGAGCACATTGACATAAGTCCACTGGTTTTGTAACATTGTTTCACCAGCTCCAAATCTATGCACCTCTACCAGAGAAATAACTCAGCAAGATAGGGTCACTCTTTGTATTTTTGAAATTGGATATTTAATTTATCTGGAGGTAAAATGCCATTCTTTTATCAATGAAGACAGGTTTTGAACCAATAATTGGGAAAATGTGAACTCAGAAAGTAATTTCATGTTTGAGTTACTACATAATGCTTAAAGAAAAAAAAGATTATCTCCTACTAATATGAAATAATAATGCTTGTCTAATTGTTTCTTTTTCCACTATGTTTTGAAATTACCCTCTGTATGTGGGGAAGGAGGCTGGAGAATGTGCTGATTTCATGTGTGGGGGAGAAAGCATATTGTTGAAGAATTAGAATATAACTTTCAGATGTCTTTTCTATCTCTGGTGGGGATCACAGAGACAAAGAGATGATTTTGGTGGAGAAAGGGGAATGTATTTTCCTAGATAGTCCTTTGTATTTTTTTAAAAAGGATTCTCAGAGAAGAATCTTAAACTGGTTTTGGCAGGGGTGGAGGGACTTACTTCTTTCTCTCATTTAACATGCTTTACTTTGAAGATACGAAACCCATGTATTTGGGCTGCAGCACAAGTCAGTTTTTCTTAGTTTTCATGGTAGAAAAAAAGAATGGTTGTTGCCATCATTTGAGCGAAAGTTCTCAGATTTGAAGCTCACTACTTTATATTTTCCTCCAAAGGTTCATTTAATATTTTAACAAAGGCTTTACTTTACAATCTACATGCCATATTTGTGGCTTTTTCTTAATCCTGATCCTCTCTATTTCTTTAGCCCATAATCAAACAAGTATCTTCATCTAAAACTGTATTATTGTGAGTATACTTAGAGATTTTGAGGTAAATAGATAAGAAGTTAGCACTCTGAAAAATTGCATAGGGGACAAAAGATAAGATTTTATCATACTGAATGTTCTAGGAGTGATACTTTATGTTTATCTTATTCACTCAACATTTACTGAGCACCTACTATATGCCACTGACCTATGCAATAGAGACACAATGGGAATAGAATCAGATTTAGTCCCTTCTCTCAGTGTGCTTATATTCTAGAGCAGGGGTGGGGAACATCTGGCCCACAGGCTGTATAAGTCCCGCCAAATCGTTTGGTCTGGCCCTGCCAAGGCATTAGGGATGAGTTAATTAAATGTTTGACTAAATATAGCAAGCTAATTTTTAAGTTGATAATTTTGTATGGCCTGCAAGTGATGTTATAAATACCCAAATGGTCTTTGGCAGAATAAAGGTTCCCCACCCATGTTCTAGAGGAAGAAACATGCTAATAAAATAATAAAAAAATAATTGTAATATTGTGAAAAATACTGAAAAAGAAAGGGAGATGATGCCCATCATTGGAGAGGTCAGGGAAGGCTTCCTTATGAGATGCTTGATCTAGCATTTGAAGGTATAGTCAGGGGAAGAGCAGAGGCAACAGAAAAGAGCTGATTCTAGGGCCCTGTGCTGAAATGAAGCATGGTCAGTTTAAAGGCAGGAACATTTCAGTATGATGGAATAAATCACAGGGAGCTAGAGTGACGGTGTAAGGCAGGCTGTGGAGGTAGAAGGATCCCATACAGGCCTTGAAAGTCATCCAAAGAGTGCTGTCAGTGTTTTCTAAGCCATAGGAAGCCAGCCATTCAAGAAGCTGGGGTTAAGGGTGGTAGGGGGAATTGTAGAGATATGGTCAGGTTTGCCTTTTGAGAAGATCCCTGTGGTTATAATATGGGGAAGAGGAGGAAGGGAAGCTAAAGTGAGTGACAGGAAACCAACTAGGAGACCACTGTCTAGTCCAGGAAAGGAGATGGTGCTGGTTGGGTGTAAGCTGGTGGAAGGATAGATGGAAAGACAGAGATATAGGATGCTTAAGTTGAATTTGTAATATTTGGGGACTGAATGTGGGGGCAATAGAAAAGAGATGTCAAATGTAACTCAAAAAGAGGTCATAGATTTTATATTCTTGTTTGTGAATTTAAATATTATTTTAAAAGTTTAATCATGCAGCTTCTAAAAACAGAGTCAGGGATTATATTATTGACAAAGTAGGTGACAGCGAGCAAGATGAAAACTCTTTAGTATCTTTGAGGATTCAAACAATGGAAGAAAATAATACTTATAATTGTTTACTTCGTCAAGATCTCATTAGGACCCAGGAAAGTAAGTTTGTTAAGGTTCACTTTCAAAGGAAATAACACAATTATTTTTATTTTCATTATTTTAAGTTTAATTCTCTATGTCCTTAGATCCTATAAAAAGAACTCAAGCATGTCCCTGCAGTGCCACCCCAATACAAATCACCACTTCTTTTCATGTTACTTTACCCAACCACAATATTTTCCCACATCAGAAAAGCCTCCCAGTATATAAGAGGAGCTTTGGACTGCGTGTGTATGTAGAAGCCTGTTCATGCCTTTGGGAACCCACGACAAAACAGTCACTCACAGTCTAAGCCAGGTGCCCAGTTTCCATCTGGACTCCTAACAAACTGTGTGGTCAGGAGTTAGAAATCAGAAACATGGGAAAGGTGCAATGTGATGGACACAGCCACCCCAAGTACCATATATGTTATCACCATCATTTAACACGTAGTGCAGGAAATCCTGTTCTTTGCAGAAGAACTTCAAAGAACCACTTCCAGTTCTCTTGGGTAACATTTACTTTTTTTCTTTGCTAACCCCAAAGTGTGTGTGTATATGTGTGTGTGTGTATATATATATATATTTGTTTTTTCCTCCAGTAAATTGCTAGTGACACTTCATTTCTTTCCTGCCATCCTCAACCCATTGTCCAAATGACCTCTCAAATTTCCTTCCTCTCCTAGGCTGAAGTTCTGTACCTGGTGGTTACAGAGGCCATAACTTAATTTGCTTTGCCCTGCACTTACTCTTTCTTTTCTAGGCTCTGAATGTTTCATATTTTAGCCCCACCATGTTGATCAGCCTTCCTAACTTCAATATGTATCCTCTCTTGTCCCAGTGACCTTCTTTTCTGGAAGAGCTGTCTTTTAAGCTATTTTTTTTACCTTACTTTTGAATATTAAACAAAACCTTTATCCAAGTAATTGGAAATAAATATTAGAACCCTCAAGCCACCTAGTCTCATTTTTTCCTTCACTAGTCTGTTCATGCAATATGTTATTTACTGAATGCCTACTATGTTCCAAACATAGGGATAGCATTTTGGACACAAACATTCTACATTCTAGAGGGAAAGATAATGAATAAGAAAACAGACAGTCACTCATTCTGTATTCTGTGATTCCATAACATTGTTATGAATTGATTTTATGGAAATATAGCAGACGTTGCAACTCTTGCTCTTGTTTTATTGGATCCCAGACACCCCCTTGTCTGTTCCAATCATCCATCCTCCCAGTTTTGAGGTTTGGGTCATAGGTACCCAGATTACAATTTGGAAAAGTAGCATTTCCTGGGGAAAATATAGTGGTTGACTGCAAAAGAAAAAAAATAACCCAATGTGCTTGTCATTCAAAGCAGAATGCCAAAGGGCTCTTCACTAAATCACAGTATTAAGCACATACCGCAGAAATCATTTTCAAATGCCGTATATATCACACTGAGTCACTAAACGTCCCTGATGTAAACCTCACATCAGGATGGCGGCAGTGTGATTAGTGAACTTCAAGGTATTTTCTTATGTGCTTTACTCTTAGGGCAAATAGTTATTTTTCATCTTCTCATAGTTGTAAGTTATAACAAGATGAATGGACCCATGGCTTGCCAGAAGCCATAACTCTCTATTTAGTTGACATAACCAGATTCCCAATTTTGGACTTTGAGAGTTTGAAAGTAGGATAAAACATTGGCTTCCTCTGACCTTTCCCCTCTGTCTTCTCTGGGCAGAATATCTCGATGCATAATACAGTTGGTGGGGCCATGGCAGGGCCCGGAGCTCACCAGCTTGGCAGCACACGGATGCCCAACCATGACACCAGTGTTGTGATTCAGCAAGCCATGCCGTCACCCCAGTCCAGCTCTGTCATCACACAAGCACCTTCCACCAACCGCCAGATCGGGTAAGGAGACCTCCTTGTTTCTGGGGCCTGACTGGAGCTCAGGAAAGGTTCTGGATTTTCTTCCTGTTTCTAGTGCCCGGATTAGATGAGACAGAAGTTGGTTTTCCTGGCTGATGTGATATTGCCTAGAGCTCACAGTGATGTCTTTGATAGGAGAAGGGAGACAAGGGTCTCTGTTTGGTGGATGCTCTTTGACCCTGACTTTTTGGGGTAGGGGTTGGGGAGCAAGTCATTCTGTATTATTGTTTCTTCAAACAAGATTTGTGAATTGTAAGATGACTACAGGAAACTCTATGGGTGTTAGAAAGTCCACAGCATAGTTCTCAAGACAAATACTTGAGGATGATAGAAAGAAGTTTCTCCCTTCTTTCTCTATTGGTCCGTAGCCATTCCTGGAATAGACAGGATAAAGAAAGCAGGCCCTCTCCCTCTCATTTACATAAAAAAGATAATCCCAAGGCATTGGTAGGATGGTCCCGGACACTTTGTATTATGGGATGGAAAGAGCTCTCACTTCTGAGTATCATGTGAGAGCTCTATTCCTGTGCTACTCAGAGTGGAGTCTGAGGACCAGCAGCCTGGGCATTAGCCAGGAGCTTCTTAGAAATGCAGAATCTCAGCTTCCTTATCTCCAGAATGAGGATGGTGTCTCTTTTTTCCACCCTCGCAAGAGTAGAGTGAAGAGGAAATAAAATATTTAAGAGCATTCAAGTTCTTAGGAAGAGAAGATAATAACTTAAGCCAAAGAGCTATGATAAATTTATATTGTTGGATGCTGAAAACTGGTTGCTCTATGCTCCCAGAGTTTAAAACAGCAAAGGGAGCGTGCTGTGTTTGGGATATACATCAGAGTGAAGTTTGAATATATTCAATTGAATATTGGATATGGTAATGTAAAAACATTAGAAGTTGTCCCACAATTTGTCAGTGTGTCTTTTCCCCCTTGTTTCCAATGCTTGTAAGAATTAACAGACCAGAAGCGAGTACTGGGGACACCACTGGCTTATTCCTCCTTCAAATGCTCTAGAAGGGGTACCTTGCCTCATATTTTTCATCTTATCTGGGTGGATTGTGTGACATATGGAGACCTACCTTAACAAATGAGAGTTGTGGGCAATGACAATTTTGTGAGTTTGCTGTGGGTCCATTTAGTTTCTCATTCAAGAAATAGGATATGAATCCAGCCATTTGAATCCTTGCCTCTGTTTGAAGAAGTCAGCACTCAATTAGCAACTGTCTCTGTTAAAGACTTCTTTTCTTCTCAGATGATTATGCAAGCAAATGTTGCCACTATCTAAAGCAAGAACCTATAATAATATACTAAGAGGGTGGGGTGGGTTGTCGAAATCTCAAGGGACTCCTTCACTCTAGTGACTTGGCTTTGGGCAGACAATTCACAATTGGCCAGCTAATTATAATTATTTTATTTTTCCTTCAAAGGGAAAAAACATAAAATGTGCTAAAGTTTACTAGCAGTTTTACAGCATTCCTTCTCCCCTGGAGTTCTGCCTCTCCCTGCACCAGTCCCCAGCTACCCTCTTGGAGGCCCTTAGTATTTGGCCATTGTTAGTACAATGCCGGTTTTTGTGAAACAGCCTTTTAAGGGTTAGCCCTAAATTCTGGGATGGGTGTTGACTCTGTCAATAATTTACCTAGCTGGCCCCAAGCTGTACAATTGGGTGACATTTCTAGGCCATGTCACTATGCTTGGATGTGTGGGGGTGTTTCTCTGATAGTTGTGACCTCCTGACCCACTCCGTTTCCCATTTATTCCCAGTCCTGGGGTGTTGTATGTCTGGTGTGTTCCAGGAGATAATTGTCACTTTTAGGACTCTGTCTCATTGCCAGACTTGAGGGAGGCTGTTTCTTTTCTTCGGATCCTTCCCTGTTGTGCTTACCATGTTGATTTCAACCCACACATCCCGTCATTTCCATTTTCTCTATGTGACCCATTCAAAACCTTGCCCGGATGATCATGGGGGCTCAGCAAGGAACAAGCCAACCCATCTCACAGTGGATTCAGAATGAAACTCTAGGTGGTAACATTTGGGGATGGTTGACTCTTTTATTTCTCTCAGCAAAGAGGAAATGAGTACTTATTTTAAAACATGAGTTCCCTCTGGAGACTGTGTCTTTAAATGAGCATTTGAAATTGCAGATAGTTTTTTTTTTTTGAGGCTGCACAGAACCATATTGTAGTAATATTCTGATTTTTATCACAACCTCAAATATTTAAGTGTCAAAATCTGGCCAAGCCACCTGCAAATGTTTGCCATGGCAACTGGCCAACAAAAACAGCAAACAGCAATGAAAGTCTTCATTCAGGCTCTGTGCTTAAGCTGCATCCAGCCAGAGGGGCTGGGACCCACCTGTGCCCATGCACAGTGCCCTTTTGCCATGGCCAGTGGGTGTGTTCACGACTGGGACTTTGTGCAGAGGAAGGGGGCCGCCTGTCTCCCACTCCCCGTCTTTTCCTCCCCTTCTACCAGTGCTTAGCTTCTGCTGCTAACCCCACTTTTGCTCTCCTTTCTGCCCCCTCCTTTCAGGCTGTATTTAAGCTTAGAGGCTTGGATGTATTGAGAGTGGTACTGACATGAAGGACTGGGAAATGGGAGCAGTATTAGTTCTCATGGATTTGGGAGACAAAGTATGCATCCTAGTAAGCATTTGATTTTCATACTTTCTGAGTAGGCACTGAACTACATTGTTCCAAAATGGGTGGAAACGCAAAAATCTGAAGAAATAAGATTAACAGTAGTTAGACAAGCAACACGGCAACTTTCATTCCATCCCCTTCCATGCTCTGCCGTGCCCTTTTTCCAGTTCTGTGGAAGTAGTGCTGTTATCCCAATAGAAACTGGAGGTAGGTATAAATATCCCAAATTGCACTTGTGTGGTTAGGCCAGCTAGAAAAACACACAGCACTAGAGAGTGTGGGAGGTATCCCCAAACTAGTGACTACTTGTGCATTGTCAAACTGGCAGACACTCTGTCGGGAAGAGTGTCTTTGGCTGATTGATGGCAGCATTTTAAGAGATAAGTTTTCCAGATGGGAAAAAAGAGTGAGGCACGGGCTGTGGGGGAGACAAGTGAGACAGAAAACAAGCATGTGTTAAATATAGATGAAATCGATTCATCCTTGGACCAAATATGTGGCAGATTCCAAGATCTCTACTCTAGTCATTTTTATTAGATATCATGTAACAGGCTCATTAATTCAGTATCAAGCCAGCAAAGCCTGGGGAAAATGGTAGATGAGCAGGTAGTGGTAGTGCAAATTCTTTTTTTCTCTGACTCTCTGTTTATCTCTGTCTATCTCTCTCTCTGTCTTCTCTCACATGAGACATTTCTGTATGATCTTGGTAGATCCCAGCTTCCCTGAAGAAGTCTATTTCTCTTTTGGAGTAAATGATAGTGAGTAATTCATGATCAGTCATTCTTCAGGAAAGCAATGAAGATAATGTGGAGTGTGGAGTTCTGCAAGAATGGGTATAAGTGCTGAGTTCTGACAGGTTATAAGAGCCCCTGCCAAAATATTCCATCAATTTTCTTCCTGTATTTAAAATGTTCTAAAATGTTAATTCTCTGTACAGATTGAAAAAATATATACGCTGGTTAGATTATTGGTGGATATTATTTGACAGTAATTGTTTACAGTGGAAGTGTGATACATCTAACATCAGAATACACAACTGTTCCTACCAAGACTGATATTTGGAAAGAAGATATCTGGTCCATTGTGAAATATTCTACTAAATATACTAGAAACTTCAAAATAGGTTCAACAGCGAACATATGTGACCTCTCCCTGATTTTATACCAATTAGTCCTGAAATATACATGTCCATGTGATATGTGGGCATATTGGCTACTTGGCCATAAACTCTATTTGCATGGTGCTGTAGCGAGGCACTCTAGAACTAACACTTAGCCAGAAATTCATATAAAATATTGTAGACTATTTATATAAAATATGATTTTTATGAAAACAATAAAAAGGAGTCAACACTCATCATAAATTGTACCTTCTCTCACCCTTTCTGTGCTTCTTTCTTCCTTTTCTCTTTGCAATCCCTGACACTATGTGCCATACAAAATAGCTCAATGGACACGACCGAGGAAAATAATGATGATGATAATAATAATAATGAAAATCTTATTGCATCTTAGAACTTGTTGGTGTTAAAAGCAAGGGAACCTCTCCTATCAGAGGAGTCATGTGGTTTTGTTGTATGAATTGGTGTTGCTGTTTGAGCTGTCCATGGAGATGAGGGTATAAATTGACTCAAGGGTTTCTTTGTCATTGTTGCTCTGAAAAAGAAAGCCCAAAAGAATGGAGAGAGGTCAGCAAATGATGCCATCACAGAAAGGCATGGCTTAAAGAAGATTTAAATAATAAGTAGTGTAGAGTTTACGAGTGTATTTGCTCTGTAAATGCATAGGTGTACAAATCCATTATTAAAAGTTTTCTTAAATTCCACAAACCAACAGAGCATGATGAAGACTGCCCACCACAAGACAGCTGTCACTGCCTACCACAAGCTAATGCAAGTGACATTCAGGCCAGCCTTCTTCCTGCGGAGGCAACAGGCCAGCAGGTTCCAGGTCATCACTGGCCCATGGCCATTCCCCAGGGCAGCTTGAAGCCCTCTTTGAGTAATTCAGACCAGAAGCCATTATTTCCTGCTTTATGTTTTGTTGGATATCATGACTATGAACATTGTTTTATTGTTAGAAAGTTTCTGGATCTTTCACAGCACTGAGAACATTTACGAGGGCCCTTCAGGGGGATGCTTTCTGGGAGGGTTGATGGACTTAACCATATGGCTCCCGTTAAATCCCATGCAGAGCCTTGAGAATTACCTCTGACAAGGGGGCCAGCAACCTTCCACTCACAGAGTTTTATGTGTGGAACAAAACATTAAGTACTGATACTTGAGGAAATATAAGGTTTCTTAACATTCAATAGTTGTAATACCACATGGTATTGTGGCCAGATG